ATCATTACTAGGAATGTTTAACCAATCAAGAACGTTGTTGATTTGAGACAAAATCATTACTAGGAGTATTTAACCAATCAGAACATTGTTGATTTGAGACAAAATCATTACTAGGAGTGTTTAGCCAATCAAAAGATTGTTGATTTGAGACAAAATCATTACTAGGAGTGTTTAACCAATCAGAGTGTTGTTGATTTGAGACACAATCATTACTAGGAGTGTTTAGCCAATCAAAACATTGTTGATTTGAGTCACATTCATTGCTAGAAGTGATTTGAAAGTGGCATCTGTTAAATTGATGATAATTTTTTTGTTTGTACTTTTCTAATATCAATAATCTCTCTGTGTATAAAAGTACATGTTTCAGTGCCTGAATTATGTCGTTGTTGTCAGTTATTTCTTGGAGTAGTACTGGTATATGTAATTACTGTGCATTCCCCACTACTTTTAATACACATGTAGTTTCATCCAGCGTGCCTGACTCACTCATTAAGTACCTCTTCAGAGATTATCAGGAATCCAATACATTATCTAATATATTTATTATAGATTATTTGTAAATTAACTGAGTAATTATACACGTATGTATTGCTGATTAGACACAATAGACTCATCATCTTATCATTTATCTTTATGTCCTTCAATCACCCCTCCATGCCAGACATGAACTGTCATAGCGATTTTAATCTTTCTGCAAGACTTCATTCAAATCTAAATCATCCACTACATAACTACTCTCTTGATAGTCAATTTATACCTCCTTTCAAAACACAGTGATATATGTAAAGCTGATATTAAACCTTTCAGGACTAATTACTTGAATCTGAACTAAGTTATATAAGCTGCTGGCTGTGTTTGAACAAATCCCAGTGAAGTCAATCATTGCATGTACTCTGTGTTATGTTGTACACTATACTGCCTATGGTCATTTTAAACAACTACAATCCTTTGATCTTTTCTTACAGGCCAGATGGAGCCTCATCAATTTAGGATTACTGCTTTCAGAGAAAATAGTGGACCAAAATAACAAGCCTACAGGGAAGACTTCGGGCTTCACTTTTCGAGGGATTTTTTTTCTAAGGAACCTGAATTTGTCTTGAGATTTAGTATTAAATCTATGCCCCGTGAGAATGTCACATGTAGATGTGTGGGTGTTTTTTTTTTTAGTTTTTTGATCACTGTGATTGCAATATATGTATATTATAAATATTGGATATAACTCTTATCATGTACAGCTACAGATATTTGTGCGATTGCTTGTAATTTACTGAAGGTGGCAGAGTGGATATCGCTTTCTACTTTGCATGGATGCACTAAAGACTACTTATTGCTATTCAATGATATTTTATTTATTATACTAGTATATTAAGAACATTTGTTGAGTAGATTGTCATAATCTTCTTATGACAACGCTGACAATTTAGCTAGATGTGATATTCAATCAATCATACAGGTGCGTTTTAATACTATTCTCATTGTATGCAGGTATATTTTTTTTTCGCAGACATTTTTTAGGGGTTTTCATTTTATCTGTATTTGCTGTTCCGAAAATGATTTCATTTAAACTATTTCCAGCATGCATTTCACTCTAAAGTATAAGAATGCCTTTGATTTTGTTGAAAAAATCAAAAATTATTAATACATATTGTAATATACAACATAGCAAGACACTGTTGGGTAAAGGTGAAGAGCAGATATAGACAGCTGCATCTGTGTTAAACTATCGTGTTTTTATAAGTATGCAAACCATATTTTTATTTTGATGCCTTGCAAGTTGTATATGGTAAATTTTGAATTATTTATTCGAGGAAACATTCAATATCTTTGTGATGGGGAGGGCTACCCCACGACAAACATGAACTACTTTGAGGGGGAGGGGGATACAACTACTTGTGGTGCTCAAGAACCTGCAACCATTTTTCTGTTTACAATTCTGAACATTAGGTAAAGAGGGTAGCTTTAAATTTTTAAAATACATTGTCACAGTGTGATAAATGTGACCACATGGTGCCGTTCGTATAATACATGGTATGAATAAATTTTGTCACATTAAAGGTGGCCTTTTATCAATGGGTTTTTTTTTTTGTAGCTTCCCAATTCATTTTCGTTATGTACTTTGCATTGACAAAATATAGAATTGACATCGTTAAATGCTTAATGTAATTTTTTCAACACCTAAACTAACTTTATAATATTCAGCATCATGATTGGGAACCAAACTTATGTTATTATTTTAAAGCGAGAGAGTCACCTGCGCATGCGTCAGATTACCATAGCGTGTCATTGTTTACAAACAAGCATCTACCTATGAGCCTTTGCGTTTTTAGCATATGTTGTTATCGTTGGTTGAGACTCAATTTTCGTGCGTGCCCAGGTGACGACCCTCCCGCTTTAACAGACATTAAAAAATCCTTCCACATCACAATTTCAGTATTCTTTCATTCCATTAACTGCCACCCTCCCCTACCCACCATTTTTAGTATGCAAGTAAAAAAAACATTACAGATAATGTTAATATTAGTATAGATTATTTGCATCCATTTTTCAAAAGTCCAAATTTAATGATTTACTAAGTATTCTGTATTATTAGATAGTGTTTAGTTGGAAACAAGTTTTGGTGATTTGAGTTCACTTGTGTACTAGTGTTTTTATTTAATGTAAATACAATTGTTTTATAGTATTAAGGAAAATACTTAAATATCCAGCAAATATTCAACTACTATGATTTTATTTTTGACAAGGTGACGAGATTTATATAAATTCTTTCTACTCATTAAGTACTGGTTCTCAAGATTATAGCTTCAAATGGAATTTACTTTCAAATTATTATTTAAAGTGTATGTACTTTAACGCTGTTTTCTGGTGTGATCCATTTAATAGGGTGGTGACAAGGCCAGCTGAGAGGAGCAACATGGCTGACAATCTTTCAGTCAGTCTCCGTCAGAAAATGGTTTGACTCGATATTTGTAAAATGATAGCTGCTAACCACCTAGCTTATTGTTAATTTTTAAACAAGTCTTTGACACTAACATCAAATTTTGTCACATTAATCATATGTCCATATTTTTAGTCCGGGGGTCTGAAAATTGGATGAATTAGCCTGTGTATTTGTCCATCCATTTCACTGACACATAACAGGCTATCTTTCTCACACTTCACACAAAAACATAATGCAAGCAATAACAGAAAGCCGGCAGCCATTTTGAACTCCCAATTTTCTGTATCTGGATACTGAAATATGTTTGGAGCAGCTTCTCTGAAATGACTAGAATGATTTCAATCAAACTTACTTATTGGGTTACAAAGGCATGTGATAGGTTATTTGGAATTGTGGCAAAAAAAATAGACAACTGGTGGCCAGTTTGTCGATGCCAATACTAGTACTTCACTAATACACTGCCTGATTCACAAGTTCCATACTTGTGGTACAATGTAACACTGTTTGGTAGTTTTGTGATTGTCAAATTGACAGCTGTTTCCCAGAGGTGGATAGTTGAATAACTTTCTATTATGATCAATGCATACTGGGTTACAGATGTGCATTTGTTTTCAAGATTTGGATGAAAATATTGGTGGTCATTTGGATTTTGCTAGTTTTGTCTGAAATACAATTACTGTTTCTGTTTAATGTTGGCAAACAGATTATGTATCAATTTCTTTGGTCGACATGTATTATATACATGTGACTTGTTCTGTCTGTACATTGAGATCAGATACTGCTAGAACCAAATGGGGACTACATTGTCAGGATCTGTAGAAAATTGGAAATTATATTCTGAAACATATACAAAACGATGCAGCCTCATTTTAACAAGAATATTATGCCGTTTTTGAGGTTGAAAGTTTGTAATACCGATACAATCCTCTGTTAACTGTTATTGCATTTGCCAAGTATTTAAACTTTCATAGACACTTCCTATTGCACATGTAGATATTTCAACTTTTTTTTGTTTTAATTAATTTATAAAACGAATTTGGATTTTGAATTGTGTATTTTAATTGCTGTTTATTTTGTAAAAGGCAGAGAATAAATGTATGCAAAGGTGACAAGTCAGTTACAATAAACATTTGTTGTTTTGGTGAAATAGATTAGTAGAATGTTGTGCCGTATATCAGTACACTAATTTCCGGAGACAATCCCCTTGTATAGAAATACATTCAAAACCCCTGTTAGTTACCACCTGTCCATAGTACTTTTAGGCAGTCCCAAAGCATAAAATAGTACGAGCAACCTGTGAAATAAAAACAAGATATTGACTTCAGTTTGTTACCACAAATACTACCACCAGATGAAAATTCCTTGATTTGTATGTATCCCAGGGGAAATTAATCTTCTATTTTAGTTGATGTAAATTTAACTTGGAAAGTTTTCCAGGAAATTATATTTTGTTATGGAACATTTCCCTTTTTAATAAGACTGTGCAAGTATTACACATTCATTGTTAAGAGCCGACTTATCCTTGGGGGCGGACATCCGGGTATGTTCACCACCTGGCAACCATCACGGTGAAAACAAAGGCCGATGTGCTTTGGAATAGTTATTGAGACGCCCCTGAACAGATTACCCCCACACGTGCAACATAAATAAATGTTGTCATCTATTTCAGATGCATGCGTATAGTGCCCAGAGTTTTTTGTAAAGAAATGTACAAATTAAATGTATTTCCATGCATGTAGGATGCAGGGAAAATTTACAACTGCAGTAAATAGCAGACGATCATTTCCTGGGGTTCAAACTTCAAACATCATTTTTGTCACGGTTTTCGCGCTGGTGAGTGCTTCAATAAACATACTATCGATTGATGATAGTTTATGTTGCCTGCTGTATGAAAGTGGTGTACTTTTATCGACCGTGTTACGCCGCAAGTCTGTGAGTAGAATAATAATTAGCTCTTCTGTGTCAATAGAATCCTAATATCTGAAAATAACAAATTTAATGACACAAAATATATCAAAATATTACTAAAATGCCATCACAGTGGTAGAAGACTGATACAAGAAGAGCTATACTAGTATATGGACCCACGGCTAACCGACATATTGTTTTTAGGCAGAAATAAATGGACAAAGTGCGATGTGAAAATTAAGGGTCGAGTAGTCGACATTACGTGAAGGGAACCGTAGAAAATTATGACGCACGACTGTGGCGGCGGCACGGGAGGGGGGCGATCGCCACTGGAAAAAATAGCGTCGCCCCCCTAAAGTCAAGCTGAAACCCTTTGTGTCAACAAAATTATCCACTCAAAATACAGGAAATTATATTAGTAAGGGGGAGCGTGCCCCGGGACTCCTAGACTAGATGTCCACATTTTGGCGATAGTCATTATAAATTAACGCTAATGACACAGAAAATATTTTATTGAAAGTAAAACCACCGGAAAAAAAATACCGATAGTCTGAGATATTGTCGCTCTAAAATATTAACTTTGGTGGTCATACACACGGTCACAACAAACATCTTAATTAATGCTGAGAACATGGTGCAAATGTCTTAATTGGGGTCACATATCTACATTGATGACTAGTACATGATTATATCATTTTAATTGGTAGTCAAACATTGTCACAACATGCATCCTAATTGATTGTAAGTACATGGTCAAAACATCTTAATTGGCCAACAAACATATAGTCGTAACATCTTAATTGGTGGTAATAACGGGCAGACTTGTTTATTATAACCTGCATATTAATGTTCAACAGTTCTTTATTCATATACCGTAGTTGTTCTATAAGTGTCGCATACGTAAATTACAGAAGAATATTTTAATGTTTCAATTTACAACAAATTGGAGTTTATGTTTTTACACGCTTTTAATAGAGATACGCTTCTAAAAAAGCCAAAATAAAAGTTTTTGTAAATGACTCAAACATTGTAAGTCACGTCGGATACACTATATTTTGATATACTAAATGTATTGTGTTGAAACTTAGACTTTTTAAAAACATATGTTTAAAAATCTCAAGATAAATTAGTATGAATTGTATGATGTGTTAGAAATGGTTTCTATTTCTTGTTTGTCTGTTCACAATTCTCACATTTACTAATACGTGAAATGTTGGTTTATGGATGTACTATTACGTAAAAAGCATGTATGCTTATTCACACCAGACATGCTTAATGTTATCATAGAGTGTAACATAGATCTGTCAATGAATGTTTATATCACCATAAGATTGGCACCAATATGTCCAGAAATACATGTACGAGACTTCAAACTGCACCGGAATTATACATTGATTGGAAGATTGGAAAGATTGAAGAAAAATTACTTAAAATATCCAGAACACAAGGAATTGTTTACGATGACGGACGCCAGACAACGTACGACGCCGACGGATTATGTTAATCACTCACTATACCTTGCCTATTCATTTCATTACTGACATAGCAGTGTACCCTGTGCTGTGGATGAACTGTGTTAGTCAGACGTAGTCTGAATATAGATTTAGTTTGAGTGACGCCCGTCTATACGTTCGTCATTTTTTCTCGGACATGCACAGACTGATTTTGTTCAAAGTTGGCACAAAGGCCAGTCAAATGAGAGATGTATGCATGGCGATTTGATTTTTGTCAGACATTTAAAAAAAAACATGCTTCTAGAACGATTTATTTTGACTTTGGCGTTGATGGTGTTGCTACGCTGAGCCATACTTACCTTACCATATCAATAGTAAGGTGTCGATTGAAATTCTTGCCATAATTTCGATCTTCTCTTTAATTTGGATTCAAATGGCCGACTGGGAGTCATTGTTATATATCCATATATATATATCCATATTACTAGTATTTCTTCTCACTTTTGACGTGCTGAGAATTCTACTTCGATACTTAATCTAGATTATAAATGCTCAAGGTTGTAATAATTACGCATATTTCATATTTGCTACGAACATAAATGGTGGATTGCTGATGCACATCTGATATTTTTGTGATTTTATTCAAAATGGACTACTGGCGGCCATGTTGATTTTATTTGTATTTCTTGGACATATTTTGACCGATTTGAAAGTAGGTGGCTATTTTCGTTCCAAAAAATGCCTGGGTCAATTTTATTCAAGCCCAGTATGGATCATACCGGGGTATAAACATCACGTATTATTGTTTTGTGATTTGATTCAACATGCCTAACTGGCGTATGTGTGGATTA